CAAAATGATAAGGAGAGGGGCCAGCGCTGTGGTGCGCTAGGTTAATCCTCCGCCTGCATTGCTACATCCCATATGGGCACTGGTTCTAGTCCTGGTTGCTCCTCTTCTAGTCCAGCTCTCTGCTGTCGTCCGGGAGGGCAGTGGAGGATGGCCCAGGTGCTTGGGCCCCTGCGCCCACGTTGGGAGACCAGGAAGAAGCTCCTGATTTGGACCGGCGCAGCTCCGTCCATTGTGGCCATTTGGGGAGTAAACCAATGGAAGGAAGACCTTTCTCTCTGTCTATCTCTCACTGTCTCTAATTCTACCTGTCAAATAAATAAAAATCTTAAAAAAAATGACAAGGAGAGGGACAGATGTTTTGCATGGTGGTTAAGATGCTGCTTGGGATGCCCACATCCCATATTGGAGTGCTTGGGTCCAAGTCCTGGCTTCTCTTGCAGTTCCAGCTTATTGCTGATGCACATTTGGGAGGCAAATCGTTGTAATGCTTCAGTCCCTGGCACGCACGTGGAAGACCTGGGTTGAGTTCTTGGCTTTCAACTGTGTCCCAACCTAGTCCTGGCTGTTAGGGGCCTCTGGGAAGGTAACTCAGATGAGACACTTCTGTCTGTGCTTCTCAAGTTAAATAAATAGTAAGTGTAAAACACAAGGTAACAAGAGCTGGTGAGGATGTTAAAAAAAGAGGAACCTTTGCATATACACTGTAGCAAATGCAAATTTATTAGTCCTTATGGAGAAGGAGGTTTTTTGAAAAACTGAAACTAGAACTACCACATGGTCTGCCAATCCCATTACTGGATGTGCATCCAAAGAAAACAAAATCAGTCTAGTGGAGAGACTCTGAACTCCCATGTTTATTGTAGTGCATCCACAATAGCCAAAAAACGGAAACAAGTATTCACTGATGAGTGGAGAAAGAAAATGCCTTACACAGTGGAATGCTACTTAGCCATAAAAGGGTGAAATCCTGTCATTTGTGGCAATGTAGAGCTCATTATGTTAAATGAAATTAAGCAAAGAAAGACAAGTCCTGCGTGATCTCATGTGGAATCTAAAAATATTGATCTTATAGAATGGTGGTTACTAGGGGCTGGGGAGAGGAAGAAGGGAAGGTTGATTAATATGTACTAAGTTGTAGTTTAAAGAGGACAAAGAAGTTCTGATGTTCTGTTATATGGTAGGGTGACTGTCAATACTGGTAATGTACTGTGTGTTCTTAAAAAAAGACTAGGCTTTTTAATGTTTTCACCAAAAAGAAACGATGAATGTTTGAAGAGAGAGTTATGTTTACCCTGAATTAAGCATTATACAATGTATACATGTATTGAGGCATCACCTGATATCCCATAAATAAGTATAATTTTTATGTATCAGTTTAAAAATCTTTTTTTAAAAGATTTTTTTATTTATTTGAGAAGTAGAGTTACAGACAGGGAGAGAGCTTCCTTCAGGTCTCCCATGCTGGTGCAGGGGGCCAAGCACTTGGGCTGTTCCGCTGCTTTCCCAGGAACATTAGCAGGGAGCTGGGTAGGAAGAGGAGCACCTGGGATGTGAACCAGCACTTCATGTGGAATGCCAACATTGTAGGCTGGAAGTTTAACCTGCTGAGCCACAGTGTCAGCCACTTGTGTTGCTTTTTAATGTTTTATTTATTTTTATCTACTTGAAAGGCAGAGAGAGTGAGTGAGTAAGCACACAAGCACACTTCTATCCAAATGCCCATGGCAGCTAGAGTTGGGTCAGGCTGAAGCCAGGAATCTGTAACTCCATCTGGACCTCCCACAGAGTGACAAGAACCCAGATATTGAGCTGTAATCTGTTGCCTCCCAGGGTGCTTTAAAGGTGCTTTCTCTACTGATTAGTGACGGTGAGCATCTTTTCATGTGCTTACTGGCCATTTGCATGTCTTCCTATTTCCTTGAATATATGGTTATACTGTGAAACTTATTTTCTCCTCTGACGCACCTTTCCCTGGCAGTACTTAAGTAGTTTTTAGTGCTGTTAACTATTCAAAACCTTAAGTTTGAGTGATTATATACTGTCCTGCCTTACAGATTCCTCTATTATAGTGTTTTACAAATAATAAGATCTTCAGGGGTAGAACTTATGGGGAATTTTCACTGTAAATTATATAATGATGAGCAACTGTGCTTATATATACATGTCATATAATACAGACATATACATATATGACATACATTTATATGATAGATGGCTGAATGTGATCAAGACAAGTTTTAACATCTTTGCATTCTAGAAGGACTCATCTTTAAAATGCGGTTTGCCTCTAATTGAACTCACTCCTGCTTTGTATATGCTGATGGGAATAGTTAGCTTACCTGCTTCCTTCCTTCTTTCATGTTAACTTTTCTAGTGCCTTCTCCAGTCTCAATCTCATTCTTCATCTTTGTAGTTTGTACCTTTATTTCCTTTTCATTTTAGTTGGAGTTTGTTAGGGAACAGAGAATGTATTTTCAAAATATAAATTTAGTTTGAAGTCTGTAACTTTCTAAAATCTTGTAAATAAGGGCACAGCCCACATTCTTAATCTTTATTTCATTTATGAATATCAGCAGGGGCAAAGATAGAATTGTATACATATAGGGGTTGTAAGTTGAATATATTCTAGAACAGAGGCTCATCAATGTTTTTCCTAAAGGACCTCATAAATATTTTATGCTTTGCAACCATGTAGTCTCATGTTTATATTTGTATTTTTTGTAACTCTTTAAAAATTAAAAAATTAAAAACAAAAAAGATTGGGAGGCAAAGAGGAGGGAATGACAGACTGCCATGTGCTGGCTCAATCCCACATACCTGTATCAACCACGGGTGGGCCCGGAGTTGAACTGGAGCTAGGAACTCAAGCCAGTGAGTGGCAGGGACCATAATTCCCTGAGGCATTCCCTGCTGTTTGCCAGGGTCTGCACTGACAGGAATCTGGACTTGGGAGCTAGAGTTGCGAATGGAAGCTGTACACTCTTGATATGTCATGTGGGTGTCTTAATTGGCAACTTAACCAATAGGCCAAACACCAGCCCTGAAAAAACACATTCTTGACTGTACTATATAGATTCCTTTGCAGTGCAGAAGCTTCTCAGCTTGATATAATCTCATTTGTCAATTTTGGCTGTGATTGCCTGTGCTTCTGGGTTTTTTCCCAAGAAGTCTTTGCCTATGCAGATGTCTCTAAGAGTTTCCCCATGGTTCTCTAGTAATGGATGGTATTGGGTAGTAGATTTAGGTCTTTGATTCATTTTTGTGTAAGGTGTAAGGTATGGGTCTTGCTTCATAATTCTGCATGTGGAAATCCAGTTTTCCGAGCACCATTTGTTGAGGGGACTGTCCTTGCTCCAAGGATTGATTTTTAGCTCCTTTGTCAAAGATAAGTTGATTGTAGATGCATGGATTGATTTCTGGAGTTTCTGTTCTGTTTCATTGATCTACAAGTCTGTTTTTCTGCCAGTACCAGGCTGTTTTGATTATAATTGTCCTGCAGTATGTCTTGAAATCAGGTATTGTGCTGCCTCCTGCTTTTTGTTGTATAAGATTGCTTTAACTATCCAAGATCTTTTATGTTTCCATATGAATGTTAGCATTATTTTTCTAGATCTGTGAAGAATGTCGTTGGTATTTTACTTGGTATCACATTGAGTCTGTAAATTGCTTTTGGTAGTATGAACATTTTGATGTTGTTGATTCTTGCAATCTGTGAACATGGAAGATTTTTCTATTTTTAAATGTCTTCTATTTCTTTCTCTGGTGTTTTGTAATTTTCATCATAGAGATCTTTGATATCCTTGGTTAAATTTATTCTAAGATATTTAATTCTTTTTGGAGATACTGTGAATGGGACTGATCTTAAAAGTTCTTTATCCACCATGACATTGTCTGTGTAAACAAAGACTATCGATTTTTCTGTGTTGATTTTATATCTTACCATTTAAAAAAAAATTTTTTTTTGACAGGCAGAGTTAGACAGTGAGAGAGAGACAGAGGGAAAGGTCTTCCTTTTTCCGTTGGTTCACCCCTCAAGTGGCCGCTATGGCCGGCACGTTGCGGCCTGTGTGCTGTTGCCAGCGCGCTGCACAGATCTGAAGCCAGGAACCAGGTGCTTCCTCCTGGTCTCCCATGTGGGTGCAGGGTCCAAGGACCTGGGCCATCCTCCACTGCCCTCCCAGGCCACAGCAGAGAGCTGGACTGGAAGAGGAGCAACCGGGACTAGAACCCGGGGTCCCGGCGCCGCAGGCAGAGGATTAGCCTAGTGAGCCGCGGCGCCGGCCTATATCTTACCACTTTACCAAACTCTTTTATGAGTTCCAGTAATCTTTCAGTGGACTTTTGGATCCCCTATATAGGATCATGTCATCTGCAAGTAGGGATAATTTGATTTCTTCTTTTCCAATTTGCATCCTCTGATTTCTTCCCTCCTCCTCCAGAAACTTTTTATTTAAGGAATGCAAACTTTATGCATTTCATAAATACAACTGTAGGAATATATGATTCTTCTCATTGTACTTGCCCTCCCACCCACACTCCCACCTCTCTTCCTCCTCCCTTTCCTATTCCCTTGTTTTTTGTTTTTTGTTTTTTTTGCATAAGATCTGTTTTCAATTAACTTTATACACATACGATTAACTCTATACTAAGTAAAGAGTTCAACAAATTGTATTTAAAAAAACAAAAAACCCAAAACAGTTCCTTAACAGCCTAATGGCTCTGGCCAAAACTTCCAGGATTGTATTAAATAGCAATGGTGAGAGTGGGCATCCTTGTCTGGTTCTGGATGTTAGGGGGAATGGTAACAGAGTTTGGAGGGTTGAGCCTTGGCTCAAGGGCTGTAGTCTGTTACCACCTACTGTAGATTCATGACTTATTTTTGAAAAAGAAACTCTTTTATTAATGCCTTTCTTAATAGAATCACAAACTTTAATACTATTCAGATGATTTGATTCTTTTGAATAAATCTACGAGTTAATATTTATTATTTCAATTTTCAGATGGTGATCCTGATAACTATATTGCTTACTATCGGAGAGCTACTGTCTTTCTAGCTATGGGCAAATCAAAAGCTGCACTTCCTGATTTAACTAAAGTGATTGAATTGAAGATGGATTTCACTGCAGTAAGTGTATCTAAACATTTTGTTCAGGGTATCTTAAGGGGACATGGAAGAGGTCATTTGTTTCTTAAGGTGAGGACTAGCATGCTAGGCATAGCTGGAAGATATGAAAACTCCTGTGTGCGAAACGGTGTACTGGTGAACCAGAGAAATTCAGAGTCCCTAGAATCAAGGGTCTGTATCAAAAAGGAACAGTGGCACAACAGGTGGCTTTATAGAAGCCTAGCAGTGTTATTAACTTTGTAGTTTAGAAAGAAATCTGTGTGGAATATGGAGTGCAGGGCACGATGTGATGAGTTAAAGGAGAGAATGAAGAGGTTGTCAGGTGACTGGCAGCGATTTCAGTGAAGGCTATAGCAAGAAGAATAAAGAGGAGATAGCTAACTTAAGCAATGGCTTGTGGGGCAGATACAGTGCTGAATTAGCAGTCTTCCTCCAGAATCAACACATGCTTCAAAGGTGGAGATACTAGCCTGATGACTGGCAGGTCACCTGTAAGCACTGTCAGGGAGTTGTGTACAGGGAACTGAGGAGGTGGAATAGATGTGAGTCTCAGAGGCAGATCTGCAGAACCATTGATCAATTAGATGGTTAAAATTAACTTGTTAACTGTTTGTTATTTATATTCTGCTGTACTCCAAAAAAGTATTTGAAGTAACTGATTAGCTATGGAATGAATGTTTGATTTGAAATATTACTGTTATTTTAAGATGGAATTTCCAAGTGTAAAATTTTTATTGAATCTATTCCTTTATACAGCTAAGCACAACCTTTCACAAAGGTTAAGTGGCTCATTTTCCTAATGCAGTTATAGCTGTTAACTAGTTGAAATGATTAATTGTACTGTTTGCTGTTTATGGGCGTTAATGCATTAAGAGAGAATTAGTGAAATTTTATTTAGTGTGTGATTTATTTTTAACTCAGTACTGATACAAATGGACATTTCTTTTTTCATTTTCTTTTTTGTTTGTCTTTTAAATTTTAGCTCCCATATATAAGGCAGATCATGTTGTATTATTCTTTCTGGGTCTGGCTTATTTCACTCAACATGATATCCTCAAGTTGCGTACATTCTGTTGCAAATAGAAGAATTTCAATTTTTTTTTTTATAGCTGAGTAATATTCCTATATATACCACGTTTCTTTATCCATTCATCTGATGATGGACAGCTGGGGTTGGTTCCAAATTTTGGTTATTGTAAACAGTGCTGCTATAAAGTGTTGGTATAGGTTTCTCTTTGATAACATTGTTTTCTAGTCTTTTGGCTATATACCCAGTAATGAGATTGCTGGATCATATGGAAGTCTATTTCTAGTTGTTTAAGAAATCTCCACACTGTTTTCCCCAGTGGCTTCACTAACTTACATTCCCAACAACAGTGTATGAGTGTCCTCCTTGGTCCACATCCTCGCCAGCATTTGTTACTCTGAGTTTTGAATTTTAGCCATTCTGATTGGGGTGAAGTGGTATCTCATTGTAGTTTTGATTTGCATTTCCCTGATGGCTAGTGATGTTGAGCACTTTTTCATATATTTCTTGGCCATTTGTATTTCTTCTTTTGAGAGCTGTCTATTGAAGTTCTTTGCCCATTTCTCAGCCGGATTGGTTGTTTTGTTGTTGAGTTTTTTTAAGTTGCTGTTACATTTGGGATGTTAATTCTTTGTCACATACATGGATTGCAGATTTTTTTTCCCATTCTGTTGGATGTGTCTTCACTCTTGATTGTTTCTTTTGCTGTGCAAAAGCTTCTGAGTTTGATATCGTCCTATTTGTTTAGTTTTGCTTTTTGGCTCATGCTTTGGGGGTCCTGTCCATGAAATTGTCTCCTGTACCAATGTATTGGAATGTTTCCCTTCCGTTTTCTTCCAGCAACTTCATAGTCTTAGTTCTTAAATTTTAGTCTTTGATCCATCTTGTGTTGATTTTATTTATGTGGTGAGGGGTATGAATCTAATTTCATTCTTCTACATATATACATGCAGGTTTGCCAGCACCATTTGTAGTAGAGATTATCCTTTCTCCATTATATTATCTGCACACTTCTGTCAAAAATCAGTTGGCTATATGTATGTGGATTAATTTCTGGGCTCTCTATTCTGTTCTATTGACCTATGCATCATTTTTTATGCCAGTACCATGCTGTTTTAATTTCTATAGCTTTGTAATACACTTTAAAGTCAGGTATTGTGATGCCTTCAACTTGGTTTTTCTTGTTCAGGATCCCTTTGGCTGTTGGGTTCTTTGTGAATTTTAGGGTTGTTTTTTCTAACTGCAAAGAATGCCATTGGTATTTTGATAGGGATTGGACTGGGTCTGTAAATGGCTTTGGGCAGTATAGACATTTTGTAATATTGATTCTTCTGATCCATGAGCAAGGAATATTTTTCCATTTTTTGTGTCCTTTTGAAGTCTTTCATCAATGTTTGATAATTTTCATTGTAGAGAGATCTTTCACTACTTTGGTTAAATTTGTTCCTAAATATTTGATTATTTTTGTGGCTGTTGTAAATGCGATTTCTTTCTTGATTGCTCTTTCTATGAGTTCATCATTAGCTTACAAAACAGCTACTGTTTTTTGTAAGTTTATTTTGTAACCTGTAACTTTACTGAATTGGTTTATCAATTCTAGCAGCTTTTTGGTGTAGTGTTTAGGTTTTTCCATCTACAACATCATGCCATCTGCAAACATGGATGATTTGACTTCTTCTGTTCCAATTTTGATGCCATTTATTTCTTTTTCCTCCCTAATTGCTCTTGCTAAAACTTCTGGTAATATATTGAATAAGAGTGGTGAAAGTGGACATCCTTGTCTTCTTCTAGATCTGAGGGGAAATGCTTTCAGTTCTTTTCCATTCAGTATGATACTGGCTTTTGGTTTGTGATATGTAGCCTTTATAATGTTGAGGAATGTTCCTTCTATACCTAATTTATGGGGAGTTTTTATCATGAAGGTATGTTGAATCTTACCACATTTTTTCTCTGTATCTATTGAGATGACCATATGGTTTTTGCTCTTTATTCTATTGATGTGATCTATTACATTTATTGATTTGTTAATGTTGAAACATCCTAGCATTTCTGGGATAAATCCCACTTGATAGTGATGTATGATCTGTTTTATGTGGTTTGAGATTTGATTTGCTAGTATTTTGTTGAGAATTTTTGCAACTATGTTCATTAAGGATTTAGGTTTGTAGTTTTCTTTTTGTGTTATGTCTTTTTGGTTTCTGTTTGCTTGGTATATCTTTTCCCAGCTCTTCACTTTCATTCTGAGTATATCTTTGCTGTGAAGTTAGTTTCTTGTAGGTAGTTTATAGTGGGGTCATGTGTTTTTTTTTTTTTTTTAATCTATTTAGCCAACCTAAGTTTTTTGGTTGGTGAATTTAGTCCATTTACATTTTTAAAAAAGATTTATTTATTTATTTGAAAGGAAGAGTTACAGAGAGGCAGAGGTAGAGAGAGAGAAAGGAAAGTCTTCCATCCACTGGTTTACTCCCCAGATGGCCACAACAGCTGGAGCTGTGCCGATCTGAAGCCGGGAGCCAGGAGCTTCTTCCAGGTCTCCCCCATGTGTACAAGGGCCCAAGCACTTGGGTCATCTTCACTGTTTTCCCAGGCCATAGCAGAGAGCTGGACTGGAAGTGGAGCAGCCAGGACTCAAACTGGCGCCCATGTGAGATGCCAGCACTACAGGTGGTGGCTTTCCCAACTAAGCCACAGCACCAGCCCCAGTCCATTAACATTTAAGGTTAGCAATGATAGATAAGAACTAAGACCTGTCATTTTGTTGATTGAATAATGACTCTACCTGCTCTGTTAGTGAATTTGGTGCTGCCATGTGTTTTCATGATTTTTCTTTTTAATTTATTTCTTAAGGAATACAAATTTCATAAGTACAACTTTAGGAATATGGTTATTCTTCCAGCCATACCACCCTCTCACCCATACTCCCACCTCTCCTCCTCCTGCCTCTCCCCTTGCCAATCCCATTCTCCATTAAGATTCATTTTCAATTAACTTTGTACACAGAAGACCAACTCTATACCAAGTAAAGATTTCAACAATTTACACACACACACACACACACACACATCAAAGAAAAAACTGTTTGAGAATCAGTTTTACAGTTAACTTTCACAATACAACTCATTGAGGACAGAAGTCCAGCATGGGGATTTGTGCACCATGACTCTTGCTGTTAATTTAACAATTAATACTCTTCTGTATGACGTTAGCAACCACCTGAGCCTCATGACATGAGCTGCCTCAGCTATGGAAGCTGTTTTGAGTCTACAAACTCTGTCAGTATTTGGACAAGGCCATATGCAAAGTGGAAATTCTCTCCTCCCTTTAGAGAAAAGTACATCCTTCTTTGATGGCCACTTCTTTCTACTGGGGTCTCACTCACAAATATCCTTCATGTAGAATTATTATTATTATTATTTTTTTTTTTTTTTTTTTTTTTTTTGCCACAGTGTCTTGGCTTTCCATGCCTGAAATGCTCTCATGGGCTTTTCAGCCAGATCAGGATGGCTTAAGGGCTGATTCTGAGGTCAGAATGTTACTTAAAGCGATTTTCATTCTGTGAGTCTGCTGTGTGGACTGCTTCCCATGTTGGAACATTCTCTCCTTTCTAATTCCATCTATTATTATTACCAGACATTTGATCCTATTTATATGATCCCTTAACACTTAATCCTATCTGTATGTTCACTTTAACACTTAATATGATTGCGAAAGGGTGTTGTATTTTATCAAATACTTTCTCTGCATCTATTGAGATAATCATATGGTTTTTCTTCTAAAGTTTGTTTATATGGTATATCACGTTGATTGATTTGTGAATGTTGAACCATCCCTGCATACCAGGGATAAATCCTGCTTGATCTGGGTGGATGATTTTTCCGATGTGTTGTTGGATTTGATTGCCTAGAATTTTCTTGAGGATTTTTGTATAATCAGGGAAATTGATCTGGAATTCTCTCTCTGTTGCATCTTTTTC